ACGGCCTTAAATTTTCCCCGTCCACTCTTAAAAAAATCCGTCAATGATCGAAAATTGTCCGCTAATGTAACCTCTTCAGAAACAGAAATATAAAAGATGTAAATGTTTATCCAGTCTTGTTTAACTTAGATTTCGTTCCAAAAGACAGGCTTTGTTATCAGAAATCACCCCTCCTCCTCACAAATAAAATATGAAATCTCGGGTTTGCTTCGGGCTCGGGCCTGCAAATCAAGTTAAGTGATCGGGCTCATGCACCCTTTATGGTTTCCGTTCTCGCCGAAATTTCGAAATCTCAGAGATATGGCGAGGCCATGAGAATGCGAGGCGAGGGTATTACTGTTGTGGCGACGCCACTCGAGCGAATCCGCTGCTCTCGACTATGCGTGCGTCAGCGCGAACATGTACGCAAGTGCGTCTTTTGATTTCAACCAATTAGCGCCGACGCAACGACATCACACACCCAACGTCACACACAACAACAGCTAAGCTAAGCTAGCTGAGACGACACTCGAAGTCGGACGGACACGTTTTTCTGCCAATCTGTGTTTCCCTTTTTGTCCAAATATATTTTTTACGACAACTATCTTGTCCACGGTGTCTTTTATTCGTTCCACTGGGGTTTAGCAAATGTGTTGATAAAGAGACGAAAATCTCTACTGTTACTAGTGTTAGTGTCTCAACATGGCTACACTCGCGAAAGCAAAACAATGAACTCAAACGCGTCTTCGTTCAATGTTGTCAACTAATATCCCGATTAATTTTAGGCAAATTTTCCTCAATTCTCCGCAGAGATTTTCATAAAAATGTGAAAAACCCGGAATTCTGGGAAAATCCGGAGGATTTTCACCTCTGATTTAAGGTTAAGGGCCCTACACGTGCCTGGCAATTTTCATGGGCATTGGTAAAACGTGCTGCAAATTTTTCTACTCTAGGTGGCGCTGCAGACCCATTTTGTTTTCATCATTTATGACAACTTTAAAATATTAAATTTTTCACCTGGGATGATGAGTGTGCAAATTTTGTTGAGTTTTCATGCATGGTTAGGTCCCCAAAAATGTGAATCATTTTGATAAAATATGACCTCTATTAAAGACCGACAATGAGGCAATAATTTTTGCAACGAATGGGTGATTTGATACCAGCCTGTAATTACAGAGACTGTCTGGATCGAGGTTTGGTCGGTTAAGTATGGGTTGAATAACAGCAGTCCGAAAATTACTTGCGAGTGAAAAATTTGTAAATTACACAGACGCTCCGCAATTTATGAATGAAATACGTTTCGAACGGCCGTTCATTAGTTGAATTTGTTGAGTCGTTATAGGGCATTCTTTAGAAGGGAACGTATATTTTCTTAAGCTGATTGTTCAAAAATGGAAAAAGAAAGAAGAGAGTTTCATCTTTTTTTTTTTTTTGGTAGGCTGCATGTTTATATCGCAATAGAACGCAAAAATCTGCGGGCCTTGCTAATCTGTCAAAATCCAGTAAAACGAATGGGATTGAGATATTTGCACCAGTGAAAATGGGTGAGTTAATAAAGGCAGCACACCCAAGTTTGGGAGGATTTAGTGACACTGCTTTTTTCATATCAAGACATCTTTTCAAGGATCAAAATAAAAACTAAGAAAAGCAAAAAATATTTTAAATTAATAAAAAATGAATAAGATTCAACAAGGAGTGGCCGTTTGGCGTATTCCAATATGTATTACTGATGACTGTAACGGCACTGCAGTGTCATGGTGTTTGTTATTCTAGGACGAATAAAGTTGTCTGTGCATTACTGGACTTTAAATCTGGCCATGAATTTTCACTTTGTGCCCACTCCCCTCAGCGCTGATGTGAATCTGTAAGGCCAGGGGTCACCATCATGGTGCCCGCGAGCCCCTCAGACAGAGTAGCCCATGGGCCTGTTCTGAAAATTGCTCACAGTGATTGGACATTGTGATTTTCGAGGAATTTTGTCAAAGTGACCATTTGAAAAGGCAGCGATTACATGTTGCAATTTTAAAACAATACTGGCATGGTCATTACTAAACAAAAGCATCTGACCTGCAAAGCTCCTTAATTGTACTGACATCAATTATTCTGTAGTGGAGGTGATTCATGAACTGTGGCATATATTTGTCCAGGAATCTTTTGTCTGCATGCACAGAATTTCCTGCACATAAAAAGAATAATGGACATTATTGTCAGAGGACAATGAATGATAATACTCTGCTGCTACAAAAAAAAAAATAAAAAAATGTAACTCACCCGCTAGGGGACATTGTCCAGGTGGAGTGTGTTGTCTGACAAAGGAAAGAAATTCATACTCTGCTTGTTCCAGTGTGATTTTACTCTGCCGTACTGCTTCGGTCAATCCTGACTGAAAAAAAATATGACTTACTCACTGCAGTTTGAACATTAAATATCTTTAATGTTGTATACGCTACAAACTATCTTTAGTTTGTAGTGTATACATCTCAACTCAACTTTATTTAAATAGCGATTTCACAACAGCTGCAGCTGTAACAAAGAACTGAACTTTACCAGCCTCCGGAATCTTCCGGGTTGCCTCACAGTGTTCGACCAAGACACGAACTAATGAACTTTTTGGAGAGGTTTTTTTTTTTTTTGAAGCAGTGAACTGTTGATTTTTACCCGTTTCGACCACACCACTGCTTGGATACCGGCAGGGTTCTTGGCAGCTCGTCTAATCAAATTGCCTTTGTTCACCGGGCAATTAAAAACAACTAGGATGAGACAATCAGAGATCACAAAGAAGAACAGACCTAGGACTTGTGATCTCGCCAGAAAGATGATTCGGCATAGAGTAATTATCCCTGTTCAGGGCATTGACGAGAGGTTAAGCAGATTATTCTGATTGGCTGCAGGCTGCAAAGTACAAGTGCTGATCTCTTTTTTTTTGTGATCGGCAATGAAAGGCATTGATCGACAAAGTTCAATCACACACTTTTCCAAGGAAATCCGCCGATCGCCAACAGTGGTCGATTGATGGGAGCACGACGAAATGTTCGAGTATTCGCTTTAAATGTTTTGATGATATGATGTAATTTTCGGTCATGTTTGTGTTAATGTACATTGTGTGAATAATGCACTGAATCTTGGTTTGAGGACAATTGTGAATAAAATCGAAGTTGCATTATCTGTTAGAAAAATTGCAATTCAATCTTTTCCTCAAATCATTCAGCGCAAGTCTATGATCAGTCGTACATATAAAGTAGTACAACTCTAATTGTTTTACTGCTGGGACAACACCACAGAGCAATAATAGCATACCTTGCCATGATGCTCTGTGCACCACTTTGACATGGACTCCAGTATTTCATTGGACTGGGCTATAATCAAATTGGGCCCCTGCCAAGAGAGTTTCGATTGGAAGATAATTATAACAGTCAAAATATTAATACAGTTAAAAAAAAAAGAACATTGTAAAGTACTTCAGCCAAAATGTTCAAGTTGGAGTCTGTAATTATGCATGCCATTTCCATTATCATGTCATTTTCAATGTCCAAGCCTGTCATCTGTAAAATAAAAAGAAAAGAGCATGTGAGCATTAATATGCATGAATTATTACATCCACGTGGCAGATGATATGCAGACAATATAACTGTACACTGTACAGACGTCCACATCGAGCATATCTGTCTCTCTCCAGATGGGCAAGGCAAGCCCACCAGGAGGAGTAGCACAATGGCCACTCAACTGATGAGAAGTGTGTGTGTGTGTGTGTGTGTGGGGGGGGGG